CCAAGATGTATTATACTCATCCCTGAAAAAAAGTGTTTGATTAAAATATATTTCATCACTAATTACAAAAAAAAAAAAAATCAAGGCAAGCAGAAGCCTTTCGTGTTTACATCGATTAATTTTGCACTGAGCCTTGCACACGTTTATGTGCAAATCGCAGTTATGAAAAAGACGGTTTTGTAATTTTTTTTACACTGAAAAAAAAAAATTATGTATGGGTCTCTGGACTGGACTCGAAAAATGTACGAAACTTATAATATAAGGATTTCCAGCGGATGATTTTAAATTGTCGAGTAAAAAAATTATACCAGTACACGTACCGTTTAAATTACTATACAATGAAGTACATAAAATTTAACGCACTGCTAAATTTTACATCGCAAACCATTGCAAGTACAACATATATATTCAATGTCTAAGTATAAAACACTATCGTCCGTTCTTTAGTACTTAACGCTGACGTCTGAATTCAAAACGCGTCTCCTTATCAAACTCGATCCCCTTACCCCTTACTTATAACTTATCGGCAGTAAATATATGTAAGACGATACACAATCTATCTTCTTTGCTCTCACGTACGTTTTTCTCTGTTTCAATTACAAGTATCACGTAAATACTTCATGTATATATATACACGCGCGCGCGCGAGCAAAGAATCGCTATAGTATACTATTTACTGAGAAAAATTTAAGTAATCAAAGTAAGTATATGAATTGTAATTAAAGGACTTAGTTCTTATTTTAATCGTTGATTTCAAATTTCTAAAAGAATTGTCAAAATAACGATCAACTTTTTTGCCATGGTTGGTTTTATAAAATAAATCAAGCCCTCGAATAAGTGCCCAAAGGTAAACATTTTATAATATTTACATGTTTTTTTGTGTACAGGAACAAATCAGTCGAGACCTTTTGCCCGTTGGTTTTAGTCTTTTTCGAGATGAACACTTTACGCGCTAGTAAGTACGCAAGCAATACAGTCGCCTTAAAATAATATCAAGTTTCTTTCACCCGAGATGCTTGGGGCACAATAAATGTAAACAATCATAACACACGCACGTGCTCTTGCATTAATCCCATGATGGCAGTAAAAGTATATACCTACGTAAACACTCCAATAAAAGTAACACACTTGTCCCTTTGTGCAGTACTTTTGCGAGCATGTGAGTCATTTTAAGTATATATCTTTGAAAAGTTATAAATTCCGCGTCGTTGGAAATTTACTTTAGAAAATTTAAGTTTTACGAACTTGAAAAATCTTTAAAATCCTACTTGAAATGAAAATCAAATTTTTTTTTTTGAAATACTCACTTGTGATTGCCATTGTTATAAGGTGAATAGCGATGACCCTCAGCCGGATAATCGAATTTCCAGTCAGTAGTGCGTAAACACTTCAAGCAGTCAAACACAAAAATAATCGTCACCTGGAAAACATAAAAAAAATATTACTAGTAACGAGATAAGCCTACACCGTAATATACAATATGTAGTAAATGTTTTTGAACAATACAAACTTTTACGATGACATACCACAATACGTAACTGGACAGCGAAAGGATTGCCTGTAAGTACCGCCTGCGGTCAACCGACTTGATCTGGATGTAAGTATTGCCGGAACAATCTCACTACTTATACTGGAAGTGCTGCAAGCCTCTAACTGTGCAGCGAAGAATGCCGGTGTCATGTGTGCAGTCTTTGCAAAACTTGCAACCCTCGTCCTCGTCGCTCGCCGCAGTCGCCGCGGGCCGCGGCACCGCAGCTTAAGTAATCGTCGCTAGATGGCCAATGGGCAATTATAGCTAAAGCAAACACAACCCATCACTCTCTCGATATAGCTTGACATTTCACGTGTCAAGGCTATGTCACGGCAAGTTAGGGGGAAGCTAAGGCAAGTTTGCACGTTAAGTTAATTTTTATCTCTAGATCCAAGTTAATTTAAATTTAATCATGATTCTTCTTGAAAAAGAGTTCAACGTTCATTTCACTAATGAAACGATTTTGAAATGGAGAACACCATACTTAACCTCTAACTGTGTAAATATCTTTACACACATGATAAAACTCAAGAAAGTGATGATGGACATGGATTGAGCGTTCTTCAGGGCATAGCAGGGATGTGTCCACTGATAGATTACGAATGATTTACGGCCCACAGAAGATTATCATATTCGTATGAAATTCGGATTGTTTACGGTAAGCCGGTGTGCGATTTAATGAATTTTCCGGCACTCGTGCCTTGTAGCTGCCACCCCGTTAATTGGAAATCAACAGAAAAAAACAAAATGTATTAATCATACCTATGGCCACGTACATAAATTTACAGCGCTAACATTTTTGTTAAAAAACTATTGAACCTCTCTCCGAGCCGCTTGTGATACAAACCGGAAAGGTACGGGCATTAGTGATTTGCTGAGGATTAATCTTTCATATGTAGTCAACATGTTACAATCATCAAATTATTTGTGCCGCAGACAGCAAGAAGTAATACTGATTTCGATCGAAATCTTAATTATACGTGATTTAATTAAATAAATTATTTTTCAATCAGATAATATTAAACGTAGTTTTTGATTATTAAAAATATGAAATTATATTTCATAAAACAATCTTTGTCATTCACAAAATAATGTATTACAAAAACACGGATACAAAATTAATAAAGTAATTACCGAGTTGATCAAAATTTAAAAGTTTTTTAAATGGTGAATAATGTATTATTTATTGAAATCGACTAAATTATGGGTATTAAAATAAAAATGTGTCAAAGGAAGGGGAGGGATAATGGTTAAAGTTAAAGACTCGATTAAAATTTTTGTTTACACAGCTATTCATTAACTATTTCACATATTACAGAATTTTACATTACAAATTTAGAAATATTTAAATTGTATCATGTCATCTTACAAACGTTATATCATAGCGGATTCATGTACAATAGTGAATTATATGAAAGTGTTACTTATGTTAAATAAAAAAAATTCAATGGTATCACAAAAACTTTATTATGATTTTTAACAACACTAGATTAATGTTATTGTCGTTTAATGTTTCTGAAAAGTGGTTTTGTTTCAATCGACATTTCAAAGGTGCACATTTACATAAGACGTTTGTAGCACCCACTGTACAAAAGTATAATCGTATTGAAGGTGTCACTATTTCTAAATGTACTTTCTTCACAATTGAACGTTAGCTTTTCAGGTCTTAGGGAGATGTACTTAAAATACTACTTATATGTAGCAGAGCTTCTGTAAGGTATAAAACTATGACTCCATTCAGATGTTTTAAATACCGCGGCAATCAAGTAAAACAATGGAGTTTCCGATAAATTGTGTATGTAAGGGATTTCGTAGATGTACGCGTGTGAAAATATCTACGAGATCAAGTTGTTTATTAAAAATATGTATGTGTACTATCATGTAATTATTTAATGCACAATATAAATTGATGACTGGGTTGAGTTCAAGTATGAGACATCTCGGCAGTGCCACCAGTGGCTTTGCTTGCCGAATCATTATTTTTAAATTTCACAATAACAATAAATAAAATCGTAAAAAAATTCCACACATCAAAATGTTTAGCTTGCTAATTAAATAAGTCTACATTATTTAATTACCATGTGTTACATTTGAATGAAAAGTTTTATTTTAAAATTTAAAAATAATGATGGATTAGAATGATTTTCAGAAACATTTTACGACAATCAAGGATCACTATTGTCATATTCATCATCGTATTCAACTAAAAAATTTTCATCATCTGCATTTTCATCAATGGCAGTTTCTTTGATCCTAGGAACTAATTTTTTTCTTTTTTCTAGAGCAAGTTGTTCATCTACTGATCTTTCTTTTCGAAATTCGTATACTAGAGGATAAATATGTTCTACTGCTGCTTGTACTGAATTTACACTATCAGCAAGTACATTAATACTTCCAGTTGAGAATATCGTTAAAGACGCTTTAGGATCTTTTAATTTGTACATAACTCCAGGATGTCTTTCTGGTTCATACTCGACAAAGTCCTTGTGATGAACGGAAAATGGAATAATCTTGACTGCCCAAGGCATCGTGCAAGTTCCAAGTACGTTTGTAATTTTATAGTTATTAAATCGTACATTGAAACCAAGTTTTTGCAGAGATCTAGCACATCGTCGAGCAGCTTTCTTTGCTTCATCTTCACTTGTAGCGCGAAAGCATGTAACTTTTCCCGAGGAGTAAATAAATGCTGTAGCACGTGGTTTCCTCAACTGCATTCTGACTGATCCATTTTCTCTTATGTACTCAACGTTTGAACCGTTTAAAGCTATTTCTCGTAAATTCAAGTGACATCTAAGACTAAAATTACAAACGACGTTTCTGATTATGATATCGAGTTCTGGTTTATCATCTGTTTCTTCTGTGCAGCTTCCAATGCGTACATTCAATATATCTGATCCTTTTTTTGATAATATGTTGCTGTCATTGTAGTTTTCTACATTATCACTTGGACATAAGATTCCATGACTTGTTTTATTTGATCCATTGTTTTTCATGAAAGTGTCCATAACACCAATCTCCTGAAAAAAAAATAATGAAATATGAAAATTTTGGACATTTATAAACATTAAATTGTATTGTGGATTAGGTGGTTTTACAGGAAAAATTAAATAAATAAGGAACTAGATCGTTGAGATCCATAACGAAAAAATCTATACAAAAGAAGAAAATGTTTTGTGTAATAAATTTTTTTTTAATTTGCTATTATATATATACATATATATACACACACGTTTAGGTATTGTTGGCAACAGAAAAATACGTAATGAACATTTTAAACTTTCTTCATTATTATTTTGTTTTTGTTTTGAAGCTCATTCAACTTCTAAAATAGTTTTACAGAATGTTACGGTGGGAAAATTTTTTGTTGTCTGGCAAAAATTATTCTTAAATTTCAATAAACTTAAAAAAATCAAAATTAAAAGAAAGGAATTTCAGCACTAGATAGTTTTTTCACGTGATTAACAATGTCAAGACATTCGGTATAGCCGTCCTTGGATTGCAATGACCTTTTAGTTATTTTAGCTCTCAACAATAAAGTCCATTCAATATTTTAAAATAATTGCCCATTCATTTGTACTCGTGCTTACGCCTCACGTTTTTCTCTTTTTTATTATTAAAATGTATCGATCAGACCAAACTTAAGGATACGTTTAAGATTACCCGCAGCACTCACAATTTTTTAAAGATATCGACATGTAGGTAACCAAACACTTGTGGTAGATGTGTGAGGTAGTGTTTTTGAAACATCAATGGCTGTGCGCACGTTTTGCAAGAAAAATTAAAATATCATAATCTTACAATTTCCAAAATAATGGGTCATGCTAAAATGTAATTAAAAAAAAAAAAAAGTTCATTATGTTAAAAACGATATTAATGTATTCGTATATTCGAGTAGTCAACGAATGTACAATAAATGTGTTACTTTACTATGAATTTCATTAAATCGCTAAATATATCGCTTGGGCACATCGCAATATACCCAATATACATGCATGTATACACAACAGAACAGAGCATGAGAGTATGAGAGAGAGCACAGCAGACAGAACAGTCTACCACTGCTGTTGCACACGATTCCGGGGCTCTTGCTTGTGTATATAATATATGTGCTTGCGATGCAATTCCACATCATATAAATAGGCGTCCCTTGCACTTTTTGCTGTCACTCTTGAATTTTCTTATCGAGAGTTACAAACCATATTCGACCAACTGGTAGTTAATAACAAATTGTGCCAACAATGAGGGTATTGAGTAAGAAACACTTGTCAAAATTCGGAGCGCAGACGGTCGTCCGATTTTGGTAAATTTTCAATCATAACCTTGAATACTTGGGGCAAATAATTGATTTTCAGAAACATAAGATTAATCAAGTTTTTTTTTTCAAATGACAGCACATCAGTGGGTATGAGGCAACAACACGAATCGACAACGACAGTTGATGCTCAAGATGTATCAAATTTCTCGAAATTGAGCGAGAACTGGTGGGATGTTCATGGAGATATGAGGGCCTTACATGCCATGAACCCACTGAGGGTACAGTTTATCAGGGATGGCCTTTTGAATGCTGGATTTAAAGAGGCCTCACCAAGCCAACCACTCGAGGGGGTCAAAATTCTTGACATCGGATGTGGCGGGGGAATCCTTTCGGAGCCTCTAGCTAGGATTGGAGCTCAGGTCACTGGTTTGGATGCTTCAAAAGAACTGGTTGATATGGCCAAGGCACACGTTTTGTTGGATAAGAATCTAGCATCAAGATTAAATTACGTGCACACAGCAATTGAAGATTTTTCACAGGAAAATAAAGAAAAGTTTGATGCAGTTGTAGCATCTGAGATTTTGGAGCATGTCATTGACCAGGAACTATTTTTAAAAGTATGAAAATAAATGTTAGTGTGGTATGTACGCTTTTCTAAATGACATGTTAATTGTTTCAGAGTTGCACAGAAGTTTTAAAACCTAAAGGTTCTATTTTTATAACGACGTTTAACAAAAATTTCATTTCTTGGTTGGGAGGAATCATTGGAGCAGAATACTTGTTAAGACTTTTGCCAGTTGGAACTCATGACTGGAACAAATTTATAAGCCCTGAAGATACCAGGCGAATATTAGAAAAATGTAAGCTATTAGTCATTGAGTTTAGTGTGAAGTTTGTTAAATAAAAATGTTTACTCATGCATGCATTATTTACAGATAACTGCAAAACAAAATTAATTCACGGGATATTTTACAACCCAGCTGCACGTACATGGTCATGGATACCATCGACTGCAATTAATTATGCCCTTCATGCAATTAAAACAGAGTCTATTAAAAGTGATGCTTAGTGTGTTACATAAATGTAAATTTTTTTGTTAAAAATACCATAAGATTAAGTTATGCTTGTTACATTAACTATTGCCTTTAAGTATTTTTTTGTGATGAATAAACAACATTGAACAACGTTAAAGCCTTTGAACAGGAGTACTTTAGTTGTCATTTTTTTCACCTTTCTGCAAGCTTTCCAAACAATGCTTTATTTCCGGTTGCTAATCTTTAGGATGTAACATTCTTAGAATTCTCATTTGATTAACTTGTTTACAATTTTACATGAATTTAAAAAACTTATCGCGCTAATGATTTCATTTATTTAAATCTATAGAATCGTCTTACCAACTTGATGCTTAATTGTTGATTACTATTTCTTTTAAACGTCGCATATCATAATTCATTCTTCACAAGCCTTTACTCTTCCCTACCTCTTCTACATGTGCACGATATAATAGTAAAGATATTTCGTTTCAAGTGATTATTGTTATTTAGTTATATTGACATTGACTAGAAGTTGTACCAAACTAATACAGAACTTTATCTATACACTAGGGATTGAATTGCAGAGCTTGACGGAAATGAAATAAAATTGTAAGTTATTAAAGGGTACACTGGGACAAAAACTTAACTCCTAAAATTTTAACGTGTTTGAGTTTGTTTTCCCTATCTATGAGGATTAAATATTATGTGTTACATCAAGTAAACACTCACACTGTTAAAAGACGAGTCACACAATAACATCACAATAATTGTGCACAGTCAAAAGTTTAATAACTATAAAGAGTAGGTAATTATAAACAACTCCAACACAAATAAACAATAATGGTAAAAAAATATGTTTTCGAACTTTATATTCAATAAAAAACTCACATAGTAAAAGGGATGTAAAATTATAAACAAATGAGTCTACACTGTATTTTTCAGAGCACACGATCTACAGGGACCCCTTTTCATGTCGGCAACTGTAGTCGCTGCATTGCCGCAACTTTTAATAGGCGCGCAAGTTAAAATTTAATCCGTACCCACTCCCAAGAATTTTAGGCATAATTGATAAGTATTTAATTTAAGAAAATGTTTTTGTGCGCAAATTGAGAAACAAAAATATTATTATTCAAGCCATTCATTCATTAAAAAATAGTTGGAAAAGTTGCAAAGTAAGACACGTTCCTTTTTTTGGTAAATATTTCAAACAATTTCATATATCGTAAAGCTTTTTGTTAGACCGTTGCACAGTTAACAACATCAAGGCAATGATTGAGTATCAATTGAGCGCAAGCAACGAACAGTAAATATGTGATCAACTACCACTACCGCGAAAGCAGTTGTAATTAATAATCAATTAGAAAAACTATTACTGCCCACACTTGGACTACATAATGACTTGGTGAATTTTTTACTCAGTTTATTACATTTGTTACTAACGGTATCACTAATGACATGTGATTGACATTCATGAAAAGGCCACTTTTCGTTCTAAGCAATAATCACGATTAAAATGTCCATAGACGTCCAGAGGGATGATCACTTGTACCTTATCATGCAAAAAAAGGACGAAGGTGGAGATTGTGGGAGTAAAAAAAAAAATTTTTAGTGGGGCGCCTGCTTCGTATACCCCCTATAATACTAATACGAGTTGCGACAATGAGCAATCGTATACGCCCTCTGGATTTGTATGTGCCCTTGCGGATGATGATGCGACGCATGTATACAGAGCAAAGGCCATCTTATACGTGTATGTAATAGAATATAGTGGTGTATACACAATGCTATACCAAAAATTGTTTGGTGTAAAAATTTTAAAGTCACGCCGAGACCGAATCGGTGCATCTACAAGACTGATACGATGAATGTTCTTGACAGTAAAAAGGGCCCCTCTCGGTCCCTTACCATCCCTTTACGATTTCAAGTTCCAAAAACTAACCACAAGACGAACGATTAACGTGATTCGAAAAAAAATTTAATGCAACAAACACATTTATAATTAAATAAAGTACCTTTATAAATAAAAGATGTACAACTGTACACCCGATAAAACAAACTTACCTTACCTGAAGCGAAGTACGATCGTAATCATCAATGACCAGCCTCGTTAGAAGTTATTAGGTACAATGTAAATAAACTGGGCACCACTGATAATTGGGCCGTGGGCCCGAAGGGCCACATCCAGTGACCAGCGTGATCTGAACCCCACCACAGGCGGGCTCAGGGCAGAATGTCCAGGAAGGAGAAACAACGCAGGGGCCGGGTTGTTGAATAAATAAATAAAAAAAAAAAAAAAAAAAAAAAAAGGAAAGAGAAAAAAAAATAGATGTCTGCTCAAGTAAAAGACCAAACGGCTTTTGTTTGATGACCACGATGGCTCAAGGGTTGATCAGGGCCACCGTGTTAATGAGTTTGCAAAGCATCTATTCAGCGTGTATGGGCTTGTTCACCCAAGTAATTTTATTACGCTTTGATCCGCTACAAAAGCCCCTGCGTATTATATGGTCGTCGCAGTACTCGCAGTAGCCAGACAAGCCCTATATATGACAATTGGTGGCACTATACTTTTCTGAGTTCTCTCTTATACTTAGAAGAGAAAATTGTGTTGTGCAGGGACAACCGAGCTAGCTTAGTGGTCCAAGACGACTGAACAGTCTCTGAACTGATGCGTGCGCGGGTCGCGGCACGACTTGCTAGCTTGCTACGACCTGTGACAGTGTGGTACCATGCCCCTCTTTTCACTTTTGTGTGTGTGCATGTGCATGTGAAGGCACACCAGTACACCACGCAGACGCAGGTCGCAGATCGCAGAGTGCAAAACAAAAGAAAGCAAGAGAGAGAAAGAAGAGGGTTGGAGGAAACACACGCAAGCATCGCAAGCGCGCAACCTCTCTGTGGTACAACGGGAAGTGGATACTTAAGTATAGTATTCAATAAGTATTCATCCACTGGGTCAGTTTGGACCTTTTGGACTTGGACGGTAAGAATCTTCCTCTCTCTCACCTCCCCCATTCAAAAACTACTCGGTCACGTGGTTTCTGTTCACCCTCTCTGATGAAGTATGAGTAATTATTTGAAAATTACAGTGATTTCCAATCTATAATTGCCAATGGCGGTTTTACTGGTGAATTGATTATGAAAAAATCGCTCTTTCGATCAAACTATAACGTTATTAAATCTTCTTTGGCCCTGATGGCGAAAAAGAGCACTATAAAATGCAGAATTGTATATTATCTTCCAATGTGAAGACACCCATTCAGTAAAATAATTAATGTATGTACATACCTATAAACTCATGAAATACAGATAATGACACCCTTGTTCGACACCCCAAATTTGATGTTGTAGTCAGTAGTTATTGCAAAATGAATAATTTTCTATGAATTACCGACAGAGCCTAAGTCGTTACATATCTGGGGTCTTATTGCCTGCAATACGGTTCGAGATTTACAGTCATAATATACCTTTGAACGTCAAAAAGTTAACTTTCTGTTACGTTTTCGTTATGAAGTTGGTGGTGTGACGGTTAATCTCGAACCGTATTGCGTAAATCGAAGCATGCAATTATAGACCCCTGCTTTTGCTTACATTCCATGAACGAGAGCCGTTTACATAAACTTTTACACATTTAGTATTACCCAGAACAGAGGGTTGAAGACCAGAGGTTGCAATAAAGTAATAGCCTAAAATAATTTTTTTTGTTGGAAATCTCAGGGACTTAAAAAAAATTCTCGAGGCATAACATAAAATTTTCGATATTTGTTCAAACATTTTTGGACTAACTTAAGTCTTGGCAACACACACATTTACTTTAAAAGGATCATTTTGCATATAATCACACAAAAAAAATCTCAAATCCAAAAATGTTTTCCAACGAATTCTGGTTTCTGGTATGGGATCTTGAGTATATTAATACTTTTACAAATTTGCAATGCGATTACATTTCGGTGCAGTTTTCCTAAGGGGAAAAAAAGGGTTTTTCTGTACAACAGATTTACGTACTTGGTTTTAGATTGCAAATCATGCGAAAACGTGTTTTATTTTTGAGAGTTATTGTTTAAAAAAAATCGACCGAACCACAGTAACAAAAATTATCGCAATTATCGCATACAAACCTGTTGTGCATTATCTTATTGCGATTTTGATTTATCTCGATGTCTAGGCAAAAGATGACTTGAATGCATCTCTAATGCGATCTGATCGACTTATAAGATATCACGCAACGACGCAACTGACGCAACAAGAAATTGTCTACTATAATTAGATAATTAATTAATTAATTACGTAAATATAAGTACCTGCAGCTGAGAGGTACTAAAGAAATACAGAGAGCTTATAATCGGCATGCAACAATGCAGTCGAGTATATATTGTAATGTGTACGAGAGTAAAACTTAACCTCTAAACAAGGACTCCTACAAACCGCTGCATCTATACAGTGTTTCAAAGATCACAGGGAATGAGGGAATCCTGTTGCGAGAAGAGAGAGGGAGAGAATATAGAGAAAAGGCGCGCACCTAGCGTGTGTCCGACAATATCATCCTTAGATCGAGTACACCCCAATTGTCTTAATCCTGGATGCACATAAAAAAATTCGGCCCCGGGAAGAAGCGTGCGCACAGTTATTATATGCTACGATTTACATATTATAGCTCTTGGTTTCTGTCCTACCATTTTACCAGGAAATCGTTGGGCTGCTACTTCAGCAGGTACTCTCTAATCTGATCGACTGTTTTTCTCCCATGGATGAGGGCTGATGCTGCTGCTAGTACTTACCTATTATACTCTGCTGCTTGCTGACGACAGTGACTGGCCCTGGAATATAATATAGGTACTTACCATTGTATATAGAGTGCAACGAGGGTGCAGCACAAAACACACGAGTCCTAGAACTCCTGGATACTGTCTTGCAGGTAGCATTAACCACAAGGACCGACGACGATGAGAAACGGCAGATTTCCGAGGCGTGTACTACGATGATTTAGAGTTATGCTTCCCTCGACCGGCTACTTCAAGGCTATCAACTGCCCGTTTTACGACACAGGTTACTGCGAGCGGCCCTACTGTCACTTCAAGCACTCACGTCGAGGTACGCGATGATACACTTCATAATTTTCCATCCTTTTGTAAGTACCATTACAATGAACCTTCCATAACCCTCTGGACTTCTTGGCTAGTCAAAATTTGTAGTTAATATCTATCTACTGAAGTAATCCCAATGTGGTGTTCCATTATTTTAAAACTGCCTTTCTATATTTTAATCTTTATGCGTTTACGTTTTAGCTCTATTTGTATTTGATCACAATTTTTGAATGTAATGCACTGTTAAAGTAATTGATCTTGGAGCATTGAACTTAATATGCATAGTACAAAAGTAGTGCTAGTTGTATGTAGTTGGTTATGTTTACATTAGTTCTACATGTATCAGCTTTTTTGTTGTCCTTAACGTCCCATCTTGCATCCTTGTATGTTGTTTTTAAAGTTACTGTTATTCAGCTTGTTTGTTCATGTATGATTGTGTTTCTTTATTTCAAGATCAAATTGTTTTTCAAAAAGATGGAGCCAGTACATCTGCACTGGTCACAGCGGAGTCAAGCCAGATTGCTGAGAAGCCACAAAATGCGAGTATTGCCAGTGTGACAAGTGCCAATTCCAATGTGATCGAGCAGCTGGTCTCTGAGGCTGTGAAGAAAGTATTGGCAGATCAGAATGTGACTGATACCGAGAATATCGTAAACAAAGTTGTGGAAGGCTTGAAGCCGAACCTCGTTTCTTCTGTATTGTCCTCCACTGCTCAGTCTATGGTACAAAATGTCAAGTCTCTGGAATCAGTTGCTCCAAGTCTGGGTGCATCTACTGTTTCAACATCCAAATCGTCCCACTGTGTTTACAATCCAACGCCGTTGACAGATCTGAGAAAAAGGCACATCCCCATCGCTCCTTATGAACTGCAGAGAGAAAGCAAGGCTGTTAAAAGAAAATCTCCTGAATCGGATAAACCATGGATGGACGTTATCCGCAACATACCTGGAATGAAGGAGCATCGATCACACAAAGTCAGGTACAAGCCAACAGCCATAAGCCATACACACGTAGGAAAAGAGCATTCAGGTCATGGTTATAGCTCGTCAGCTTATGCTGTTGAGGAATCTTACATTCCTGAAAAGAGAAGAAAGAAAAAGGATTTGTACTTGCCGAAACCAAAAAAACGTCGAGAAGAGTATGTTCCTAGAAAACCCAAGGTCCCTTTGAAACTTGATCAAAGCTTTGAAGATGATACTTTTGATGACGACATTCTTATTGACGGTTCCGATTCTAATCCCAGTGCAGCGGTTAATGAGGAATCACAAGACTTGGCGGAAGTTGATCTAAAGTCTTACGATGATTATGATGATGCAGCTATAACCAGTGAAACCAAAGAAGACGAAATAGAAGAAGTAGTTTTAGATGTAGATATTCAATCGTCGCATGAGGAAAAAGAAAACAAGGAATTGAAGCGACAAGACGTAGACAAAAGTATTGTCAGTCACACGGATAAGGAAAAATCATACAAAAATAAAGAAATTTCGAAATATAAAGATAGTAAAAGTAAATCATCTGATAAAACGAGCCAAGAAGATTCAAGATCTAGCAGGGAAGACTCAAAACCGAGAGGAGATGTAAAATCCATCAGAGAAGATTCAAAATCTATGAGAGAAGATGCGAAATACAGTAGTAAGCACAAAGACAAGGAAGACTCTAGGTCCAGCAAAAGGAAAGAAATTGATTCAAAATACAGCAAAAGCAAAGAAGAATCAAAGCATAATAAAAAAGAAGAAGACTCTAAGCATAGTAAAAGCAAAGATAAGGAAAGAGGGGATGATAAAAAGGACAGAGATAAAGGTGAGGAAAAACGAGACAGGGACAGGGATAAGGAGAAAAACAGGGACAAGGATAAAGAGAGGGAAAGAGAAAAGGACAAGCACAAGCATAATTCAAAGAGCAACGACAAAGAACGTTCTTCCTCTTTAAAAGATAATGATAAAAGTAGAGAGAAGGTTAAAGAGAAAAGAGATAGCCGGGACAGCAGAGACAACTCATGTCACAGATCTAAAAAAGATTTGAAATCTGATAGAGAAAAAAGTTCGAGCTCAAAGGATTCAAGAGAAGGAAGAGACAGTAAAGATAGAGACAGGAGCAAGCATAGGCATGATGAAAAAAGCTCTCACAAAGGCAAGTCAAGCTCTTCCAATTCTAAAAGCAAGTCGAGCAAGTACTCCCACAAAAGTTCAGATAGTCACAGTTCGTACTCTAGTCACAAATCTGATAAATCGAATGAAAAAACTTCGGTGGAAAGAGAATTTGTGGAAAAAGATGACAGTTCGAGTGACATGAATTACGACATATCTGATCAGGAAGAAAAATACAACAGTCCTGAGTATGAAGAATTCTCCCCGATGTATGACGAACACTTACTTGAAGACTCTGACTCTGATCATGATGTTGAGGCGGAATGCAGAAAGATTTTCCAGGTAAATTGAACTTTAGCTGCTTTGAATTTCTACTCACTTGTAATATGACTCAATTTTGCACATGATAAAGTGAAAAAAAATGTATTTCAAATAAATTTCAGGAATACGAAGTTTCTGATCATCCAAAAGACGTGACGAGTAAGGCACCTCCAAAGCCCGAAGTTGAGGAACTCGAAGATGATGTATCTAAAAAGAGAGTTGCGCATGCAGGAGCTGCCGCGAGTATAACAAAACCAGTTGGTCCAAGTCAGCCCCTGAAAAAGCTATCAAATCCACATCAACGAATGTACGAAAGGTGGAGGATGATGAGAGAAGCGGCTGCAGAGAAGGCCGCAGAAAAAGTGGCAGCAAGTAAATTTTCGAATAGCGATCACCAGGTCAATGGTAATGGTCCGTATTATTTTAATAGTTTAATCGTCAATGTTATCGTAGCAACTAACGATCATTTAATTTATATTTAATAGGTCGGATTAGGATAGCTCAAGTTCCATATGCTCAGTCGCTCGCTCAAGAAAAGAAGAAAGTTTTGGAGCTAGCTGCCAAAACAGAGCAAAAGACTGCGGCTCAAACGAAGAAAGGCCCAACGCGCATCGCGCATATACCTCAAGTGGTGAATATTATTGTGAATTCTAAGGGTAAATTTATTAGCCCAACGTATATCTCGAATTAATTTAAGGTACCGCAACTCATTCGACCGGAGCCATTGCAGACAGCTAACACACAAAAATTTCCATTGAATGTACGTCAATTCTACGTGAACGCGATGCAGGATATCTGCTCTCAAATCTACACAAACTCGGAAGATGCAGCTCAGAGAGCAGTGCGCGAAGAGTTTGCCTGCTACGAAAGGTGCAAGGCTCTCAATGTATACAAGAACTCTTGCATGCTGACAGTGCACAGACTACGTAAGGAAGTTGATCAAAAATCCGAGGACGCATCAGGTGCAAATAGTGGTTCGATGATATCGCATGAGGCTGTGTTGGCTGGTAAAGTGAGAGGCTTGTACAGTATCATCAAGCCAAAAAAAGTGGCTTCAAATTTCGAAGGTGTTGCCTTATACCAGATGTTGGCTAAGTGGATTTTGTCAGAGCAAGAATTCAAGGACAATGGCTATCCAGTGCCGCATTCTGACGGTGTAAAAGTACGTGTGAAAAACTGTCACCGATTTATTTTGAATCGGCTAATAATAACTTTTTTTTTTAACAGGGTCGAGCAATGTTGTACACGAAAAATCCAAGAGGTCAATCAACTCCTTCTAAAGTGCCTAATCAACGTTACTGCTGCCGTTGCAATAAGCCGTATATGGTAGATAAGCACGGTTTTGCAGTGAGAAAAGAAAACTGTATTTACCATTATGCGAGGAAATTCACGTTTAGGGGAGAAAGCAAGTACATGTGCTGTAAACAAGATGGTTCGTCGGATGGGTGCTGTGATGCTTCATGTCACGTTTGGGACTTCGTAGACGTGGACAATCTTCGAGGCTATGTGACCACTTTTGATAAAGGTTAACAATTTGTTGTATTTTTAAAAGTGCGTCATAAAAAACAGATTAACGCCTTTTCAATATGTATTTATATTTTTATTTTTTTTTTATTTTTTTTTTTTGTTTTGTTAGATGTCAGTGCTGAGGAACAAGGTGTATATTCGCTTGATTGTGAAATGTGTTACACAACGCAAGGCTTGGAGTTGACGCGCGTTACCGTCATTAATGAAAAGCTCGAAGTTGTATATGAAACTCTGGTGAAACCCTCGCATCCAATCATTGATCATAATACCAGGTAAATATTTACCTATGTTTACCATATAAAACTCTTGTTAAAGATGTTAATGTGCATCGTATGAATATGTTAATTTTTTTTTTTACAGATTTTCTGGTATTTCTGAGTCCGATATGAAAGACGTAACGACAACATTACTCGATGTACAGGCGTCTCTTCTTACGATGTTCTCGTCCAAGACTATATTGATTGGTCATAGTCTTGAAAGTGATTTTAAGGCATTAAAATTATTGCACAAGACTGTAGTAGATACAAGTGTTATGTTTCCACACAAAAATGGACCACCTTTTAAACGGGCATTGAAAAATTTATCTTCCGAGTATCTTCGAAAGATTATTCAAAATGACGGTTAATATTATTATACATTTTATGCATCAATTTTTTTTACTACCGTTCATACTGTAATCTCTAATATTTTAGTTGGCGGCCATGACAGTAAAGAAGACGCTATAACTTGTATGGAGCTCGTTCTTTGGAAGGTCAAAGAAGAGGCAAAGCTCCAGTAAAGTGAAACATTTTTTTCGGAAAAGTTATCGAAAAAATATGTTAAATCTACTGCTGTACTGCCTAAATGTATTATAAACATTTTGTACCATACTGTAATATACGCGAATAACTTCTCAAAAAATGTTTGTCTAAATACTCGATTAGTTTTTCCTTATAACTTGGCAATACTTATTTATAGTCAAATTTAAGGAGTAATATTTTGTACTTGGTTGATAATTTATGTAATATTTCTGTCAACAGACACTAACTATAAAAAAAATTGTCTTTCTTTAATATCATTATCAAATTTAATAATCAAGTAGAAATAACACAAATGTACAAGTTTTGTATTTTGAGAAAACTTGAAGACAAAAACACGATTAGTAATCCATGAGATTCTTGTACATCAAGAGCGATCAAAATTAAATTTTTCACAAGAAATTGTTTTTTAAAATATTTTTATATCATTTGTTCGAATGAATGATAAACTGTAATGTTTTTTATTTCTAATTTTACTTAAGTAGGAATGTATTTTAACCTAAGGATATAGTTGCTGGTTATCTTTTTTTTTTATTTTTTTTTTTATTTCAAACCCATACCTGAATAAAAAAATATTTTCACAATAATAGTTTGTGGCTTATTTTTGAAATAAAAATTTGCACAGTTTATTTAATAAGTTTTGGCAAAGGAATACCAAAATTTCGAGAAACGTATTTGTCCTGCTGATTTTTATTGTATCCTGTAAAAATATACATGAGATTCTACACATCTTTTTTTCAGTCCTATACAAAATATGTGGGATCTCATTACTCTTGCAATCTTGAAAGTTTTCACGTATAACCTTTTTTTTTCCTTTTCATCGCGCCTGTTTTATTGTCTGGAACTTTGAAAAGTACAAATAATCCTCATGAGCGTTGTACCACGTTAAAATGAACCAAAAACAAGACAATTATACAGCTAGCAACGATGTGTAACATAAGGACAATATTAAAAGTAATTTACAACTATCGTAACAGCATAACAATAATAATAATAATAATTCAGTTACTCGCAAAAAAATCACAAGCCGTGCAACGCAGTTGCGGAATGTTCGTTTTTAAAACTATTCAAAGGAAACAATGGTTAAGAAAGGGGAAAAAAACAAAGGAGAAAATGAAGTGATGGATTTTGGAAAAAGGGAAACAGAGACAACAACGAATATTATACAAATTTACAAAAAAACTATAACGACATCGTGTACATCGTACAGATAAAAGGAAATACGAACGCGAAAAGTGCAACTGGATTATTTTCGTTTCATCGCTCGGACCGAATTCCTGTATCATCTAAAAAACATTTAAACAAGCAGCTGATGTAATATACACTTTTGGCTGATCATTCTCTTAAATTTCTTTACTTATTATGAAGTGACTGCTCACTTGAACAATTAATTTCAACAATTGGAGCGCATTTCTCTGCTTCCCAAAGTAAAAAAAAATTTTATGTACTGATTGTTGTACAGTTTTGGTGGGTCCTCTTTGGATCGTCGATACAAATATTTATATGCCCATGAATAAAAAACGTGAATAATTGACAAATAAAACATAGATTTTATTAAACTCAAGTGGAGAACTCACGTTTTAATTTTGGTTTATAAAATGTTTTACCAGTGAATTATGTTTTTATTATTATTCTTCTTTTCGCATTACTATTTGGTATAAAAATAATTTTCACAGTACAACAATGTTGCCGATTTTTGTTTTATTTGTGTTGTGTGAAATAACATTCCCACAGATGTGATTTTACTCAAACTTTGTAATTTTGAAATGTTCCATAAGCCAAAAATTTTTTTGGTGAATTTTTGAGTCCAAAATTTATAATTTTCAATGCTTTTAGTGTTATTTTTTTACTTGGGTTGAACACATGAGTATTTATCATACGTTAAACTAAACATTAAACCATCATCGACTCGTTCTTCCTTTTATCTCAACATTTGAAAAAACGGACTAAATATTAGCCTTTTTCCAATATCTTTATTATCAAGTGTCATTTTTCTAATATTTATAATATTTACACATTTGCAGGCATGATCGAGATTTCACATCTGGAAAAAAATACGTCACTCGTATCTGTACACTTAACGAAGGCTACGGATATATTCAACTAATTGACTATCAAGTCCATTGATTTACAGTTAATGTTGAATTTAGCGGTACAACTGTACGTTTAAGTTACAAAAAGCATTTTTTTTTTTTTTTTTTCATAAAAATGTGAAACGTGCACCAAAATACTTTTGTATTTTTTTTAATAACATTTTCAAAGTGGTATAGTGTGATTATACTTCCGAAAACGCATTAATGATTTTAAGAAGAGTATTGTTGTTTAAAAAAATAGATGGCAAATATTTATGAATAATTGATTAGATACTTTAACGGTAAATATTNTTTTCGTAATATTTTGAAAAAAAAAAATTCAAGATCTTTTTATTAATAAAATCCTAATGGTATTTTAACCTTCACTGATAAAATTTTTTTTGCAAAATTAACTGCAGCTTCGACAATACTGCATACATCGTCTCTCACTGATACGTAAAACTATATTTGTTTCTTTGTTGTTAAAAATGTGTTTTCGTCAAATAGAAAGAATTAATAATGAATGAAAATCGTATATTGTGATGTAAAAACTGAGGCAAATTTATTGACATTAAATACTGTATGAAAAGTTTACTATTTTAGGACAAGGTTGAGAATAGTTTGATCAATAGAGCATTCAGCTCGCAAATTGGTGGAGTAATGACATAAACCCTGATCTGAATCGTTTATTTCAAAGATTACTATTTTATTTCAATTTCAATGCTATCGTAGTACATTAAATTACGAATAGTTTTTATGATAAATCAAAAAGGATTAAAAATATCCTTGCTCATAACAGTTGAAGAAAAAAAACGTTGATTGCTTTTATTTTATTACCAATGAAATGATTTTATTTCCACACATTATTTTATATTGACCATATATTTTTCTATTATTTTTAAACTTATTATAAATTATTTCTATCTAAAAAATTATTTCATTCACACTTCACATTAATAATAATTGATGTTAAAATTAATAAAAATAAAGAAGGTTATAAGTTCTTGATTTAAAAACATCAATTCAAAGTAACTAATTGTTTGGTGAAAAAAAAAAAAAATTAAAAAAATTAAATTTCCCAGTGCCGTCGTTTATCAGTGTTAACCGATCGTTTGTGATCCCCTACATGATTTATTGCCCTTTTATCTTCAAGTTCGCAACATATGAAACGTAATAAACTATATTATCTAGTTTGCATTATTTGTGCAAAAAAAAGATGCACGTGTTACTTTGCGAAGCGTAAAAAAAGTTGGTTTAAAAATAGACGCGTGGAGTACGATCTAATCGAGCGAGCTTGATCGTTTAATCAATGCAAGATTGTATTTTCCCTCCGCTTCTCTTTTTTTCTTGCTGCTTTCCAATTAGGTAAAATTGAAAGTTTGTATGGTAATCTAAACTATGCCACTGTTTCTTTACTGTATGCGTCGGATGACTAAATTTTTTTTTTAAATTGCTAATTTTTTCTTTAATTTATGCATTCATCATCTAATAAATTTATCCTTACACAATAAGTAGATCGTGTATATTTTCGTCGGAAAAAAAAAAAAAAAAAAAAAAAGATGTTTGATTTCTGTTTACTCGATAGGGGTAAAAATAATTTGATGAGTATACAAATTAGGTACCACGATACAATGCGTTCTTCAATATGTGATTATTTATATTACACGTATGAATAATCAGCTTCAAAATCATGAAAAAATTAGAAAAAATTTTTTTTTAAAGTTAATAATAGCCAATAGAAGAATTAAAGGATTTTGGTCAAGTAATATCTATACCTAACGTACTACGTGCGAGTCGTTATCTGAACCTAAAATAATACAGCGAATAACGTGAAACTGCAGTGATGGATATATAACATGTCAACAGCGAACAAATGTAGTAATACCTATAACTACGAGGATAAAAAAATATTGCCTCACTCTAAAGTAATTTTTTTTGCTAATAATCTGTAATTATTTTTTACCATTGAAAAATGTAGTTCATGTAAAAATAAAGTGTTAAAAGTATCCATTAAAAAATATAATTTGAACTTTGGTGAAAAAAAAAAAAAAAAAAAAAAAAAAAAGACTTGACGCATTTCAAAAAAAATTTTTTTTTTATATTAAAGATTTTAAAAATCGTACCCAAGTGTAAAAACTTTGCTACAATACTTTGCAGTCTACTTGCACGTAAAAATTAATTTTCTAAAATGCCAAGGTTCAAGGCTGTACAAAAATTAATCAATAAAACGTACATTAGATATGTACAGATGTTTGGTAAAACGTTAAAAGATAAAAAAAAAAAAAAAAATTTGCTGGTCCTACGAATGTATGAACAACCACGAGTTATCCTATATACGTACGTAAGCGGCGCCCAGTCCCTTGATTTTTCAACGCTATATTTTACACAACATAATACTCCTTGGTCCAAGGCTCGCTGTGGCGCGCGCACTAAGGCATATTCCTTATTATTCTTTAGAAAAATATTCGGTTCTTTTTTTATTTATTTTTTACGAACACTTTGACCGACCATCCAACAACAAGAATTTTTTTTCCTTCATTATTCATGCAAAAAAAAAAAAAAAAAAAAATACCAATACTAAATAAAATCAGCAAAATATTTGTAAAAAACAAAAAAAAATAACAACAATCGTGCGCTACCGCTCCACCGCATTATGCATAATTGTTTTTTTTTTCTTTTTTCGTGCAGCTTCAACATGATACGCAACAACAACAACAACAATAACAACAACAACATCATCGCCACGCTAGACCGAGACACACGCGACTCGCGTACATGTAATTGATGAACATATCAACCACCCCCTGGATTGCAGCAGCCCCTATATTCATAATATATCACTTTTGTCGCACCACTCGCTCGCTGCTTTTTTTTCTTTGTTTGTTTATAAATTCTCGATGTTTGTACACACACACACACACACAAAATAAGATGGGTGGTATGTATATGCATTAAAGTGTCTGTACAGGATTGTGGTGCAGCGCGGACGAAGGGGGACTAAGAAATTATTGATATATTTATACACGCGTATATATATATATATACGTCGATCCGCACAGCAGGAGCAGTAAAGTTGAATAGTCGATGCGAAATAAATGTTTTGGTAAAAAGAAGAGAGGGGGGTAAAAATAGTGTGGAGCTATATAGGTGTGAGGGATGATCAAGGCTTGTCGAGCAACTCGTCAAACTCCTGGTCGCCGACGAGGTAGAGGAATTGAAAGGCGATGGCCAGGAGACTGATGCCGAGCAAATCGCCCATGGCCGTGAGGTACGGGATGGCCGAGTTGTCCGGATCGATTTTCCGCTTCCACATCCAGTGTATCATTATGTAGGCGATGTAGAGTAGGGCGGCCACTTGGAGGGTTGCCGCGCACAGGTAGACGAAGACGAAGAGCGCTGTCATCGAGGTCTGGCCCTCCTTCATGTAGTTTATCAGGTAGATGAAGATTATGTGTCCTGGTATGACCATGCTCATTAGCACGCGGGTCGTGCGCGCGTGCATGCCTGCGACGGAATATGGTAAGTATATGGTTCTTGGTTATTTTTTATTTTTTATTTTTTATTTATTTATTTGTTTTTTNGTGTGCATATGTTATATACACCTATGTGCACGTATGCGCGAGCGCGGGGGAGTGCAGGTGCGACTGGTTGGCGACCACGGAGCTCGCTGATAATGCCTATGTAGTATCTATCCGCTGATGGATCGGTAGGAAGGTGCCGATAAGACTCACTGCAGGTGCGTTGTTTGTCCACGTGCTCGTGTGTGCACGTCTATCGTCGAGATACCAATTTTTCTTTTCATTTTTTTTTTTTTTTTTTTTTTTTTTTTTTTTTTTTTTCCAAACGTCCGACCCTTTGCCGCTCGTAGGCGATGTCTAGACTACCGCTTAAACGCTGTTTACGTTGTTGTGGAGTGGAAGGTATCGATTGCTATAATTGATGAGTGGTTTTTTTTATGAAGAACGTATAAGTGTCGCACGCGCTTCAAGACAACAGGTGACTCATTGACGAAGATTAAATGTGCAGTTGTAGAGTCTTTCTTTCGTGGCCAAAAAAAAGAAAGGAATATTCTCACGGTTACCATTAAATTTATTTAATGCATACACCGATGTTAGATCTGTATAATTATTGCATAGTGCATCTGAAACATGGAAATTGTAGAAGGAAATAAATAAACATCAGATACAGTGCCGATATTTTATTCCTTTACGGTATCTTATCGCGCGTCGGTCGTTACAGGCGCCACTTACAAAGTCAAAGTCGCGCATATACCTACTTATTGTGGGTATATTTATAGAGACGCGCGACCGTGTGCGTCTGTTTCATTGCGTGTCTTTTTATCGAAGCGATACCATTTGCCAAAGGTGTATGCACGTATAATTTATTCTCTCGTGTTTGCCGATTCGCACAATTTGGTTGGACGTTTCTTTTTTTCTTACTTTCGAGCCTGTACTGACGCGAGCAATCACCAAAATTACGTGCGATCGCTTTGGTTCAACCTCTCGTACAAATGATCAATCATTACATACATATTTATAATGATTTGAATTTATGCGTCGACGCATAATGATAAACCATACATGTATGTATGTGTTAAGAAACATGTGAAATCATAGTCGAGTACAATATTTGTAATTAATCAGTGACAAAATCGAAATAACCTTATAGACACATCGATTCTAGCCACATCGCAAGCTCCATTGGTTTGAATTAAATTACACGACCTATCGTGCAAGTGTAGCACATCACATGCAATTACGTCGATGGTACGTTTACGCACATGAAGCCTTTACGTATTAACTAAATTCACGAGAATCTACCCGAGATGATGCAATTACTCGCGGTCGGGGAGTTATTTCTTCGATGAACAAATTCATATCGTTTGTGACGGACAAAAAACAGTTGAGCAATCGATACTCGAATGCGTTGTTGATCGCATCAACAACGGGTGAAACGGAAAATTTCGACCAGTTTGCCTTTCGATAAGAGTTGTTTATGCGTAAATTTTGCGTGTGCAAAAAAAAAAAAAAAATAAAAGAAAGAAAATATCAACACGCTTGCTTAAAAAATCTTGTCTCATAGATGTATACTATTAATTGCCGCTAAAGACATTCCGATGCAGCATCAGATACCTCATGCATTAATAGCCGCGCACGTGTCACCGCCACCGCAAACACCACCAAAGTTTCGCAACCAGCTGAAATACGCGTGCACGTATACGATTGTCACCTTGTCTCAGCTCGTTCTTTCTTGTCTTTCCGCAATCATCGCGCACTTGCGGTTCCCCGACATCGCGAGCTATGTATATGACAAGAGTGCAAAAAACCGATCGACATCGCCTCATATTTTTTTTTTTTTTTTTTTTTTTTTTAAAAAAAAAAAAAAAAAAAAAAAAAAAAAAAAAATGAGCCCTCACCTGCACGAGATCGAGGACGAGACCAGCGCCGACCATACCGAGGCCGGCTATGAGGAACGGTATGGAGACCTGTATGGTGATGGCGAGGTACGACTCCGTGGGTTCCTGCGCCTCGTCGTAGATCTTGCTCTCGGCCACGAGGTCCGGCAGCCGGGGCGACCCGGCCTCCTCCAGCAGGCTCGCCGAGTCCTCCGTGTTGGGCCCAATGGCGATGGCCGTGGCGTTGCCCAACGTTGGCAGGACGCTCGTGTGCAGGGCCGCAGCGCTACTCGAGCAGCCAGGGCAGCCCAGCAGGCCGCTGTTGGCCAAGGCTAGGGACACGTGCGCCCCGACGTTCGACTCGGAGCAGGTGCGCGACCTGCCCCCCGTAGGGGTCATCCGGGCCATCAGCTGGGGCTTTGACATCGTGCTCTGCTGCTGGTTGGTGCCAAGGTGACTCGCGGCCTGCTGGTTGTTGTGCTGAGGGGGCTTAGGCTGCTGTTGTTTGGCGCCCTGCAGCAGGGGCTCCTTGCATTGCTCACTGAAACGAAAAAAGAGATTTTTCGCTCAATACAAGATCAAGTTTTTTTTTTTTTTTTCACCCGTCCGCGTTTGTTGGGACTAGATGGCTCCCCGCGTGTCCCGTGACGTCGAATGTAAAGGCTATTTTTTTGATTCGCCGTACCTATACGGATAATGTACTCCTATGTTAACGAGAGACCATTTTGGGGCGGGATCCACAAAATTACTTAACTTGAGATGCATGAGATGCATCCCTGTGAGAGCTGTTTTTTCTCTCGTAGTAGCCATTTCTGTCTCGAAAGAAGAATTCAAAACAATTTTTAACTACTAACATCCGCAAACTCACAAATTCTTCAGTTTAAAACTGTTAATGGTTGAAAAAAAAAAAAATTGTTGTACTAACATCTTTTTCACAAATATGTAAGAAAGATGTTCAACGCAATAAGGTTTGAAAAACAATGGACAGTTTTTTCTCTGAAATTGGCACGAAATATACCTTGGTGAAATTGTCAATGCTCAAAAAACGCGTATTTACTCTTTTGCAAATTTTTCTGAATTTTGATTTTTCAACAAATCAATCTGTCGTACCCACCTCTGAGATAACAAATTAATCAATATCTCATATCGCGTATTCATAAGACGCAAAAAAATTTTCAAACTTCTACCGATGCTTACCTGAAATTTCTCTAATTTAAACACACACGCGATCGAACGTAGTAGACCTTGATTAACTAATTTGTCACTCAAATACGCGAGATAAGGAATTTGGTAGTACGACAGAACATTGCTCGGTAATGAACTAATCGACCGTAGAAAAATTGCGAGTTTTGGAGTTCGTAAAAAGCCAATATTTACTAGATTGGCTGATCGAATTGGAGGTTCAACGACTAAAGATATAAACACGCGCGTGTACTTTTGACAATTTGAAAGTTTAAACTATGCATTAACTTTTTTTTTTTTTTTTTTTTTTTATCAAACGCGTATAATGTCGCTCTATCGAGTAATCTCTTGACTACCTCAAATCTAAGTCTATAAGAAAGCAAAATTATCCAATTAAAAAATAATTGTACGATTTCACTATGTCCAACTTGATTCTTTGTTCGTATTTATATTATATATATACCGAAAAATCGGTAATTTTTTGTGTTTCCGTAGCTTCTAGCACATTGGATACTACTTGAAACAATACCGACACCACAGCTCCATCTGATATATATCTTTCTCAAAACTTCTTGAGCACTCGATTTCGGCACTGCACAACTGTACACACTACACAGGAAATGCCAGTTTTTCGGGGAGAAAAATCAAAACCAAGAGGGGAAAAAAAAAAACAACGCAGCTAGTTACCAATTAAAATCTATTTAGCTCATACGCGGTGACAAATAATCCGTGGTTGCTGATAAGCGCGACTTCTTTAAACGCGCGTTACACCTATTATCTATTTTTTCATTCGTTTTCTCACGAAACCGCGCACTAATACTAGTCAACCTTGCCGACTGTATACGCGGCAAACAACGAGCCATCAAGTGTCGGTGCACACACTGATTGTACAGAGCTCGTGCTGAAACACAGTCATAAATGCATTACAGTAAGAAGTACATACCGATCTTGGAGAAAAAAAAAGAAAAAAAGAAAAAAACAGCATCAGGTACCGAAAAAAAATCGGTCGATCGATTACAGCAACAAACACCCCGTGTATCGTGTGACAAGCCCCACATTTGTCACTCTCGAGGCACGCGTCCGCACACTCTCACGATTGATGGAGCTAATACGAAGATAAACTATGATGATCGGTAAGGAAAAATCGGCGTCCAACCGATCCATACTCGGCGAACGTTCACAAAAAAAGAAAAAAAAGAAAAAAACCAAAGGGAGTAGGTACTTTTCGAGTTCGCAGTCACAGGCACAGGCGAGACGCAACCTCGAGGAGCAGGAGGAGGAGCTTCGTTGGCAAGTCGACGAGGGAGACGGCGGCTCCTGTGCCGCCTGGCTCTCTATCATCTTACGACTGAGAGCTTGGCGGGCGGCTCGCGTTATCAATTGACTACATTACGCGCCCTCTCGGCTATGGATGATGATGATGATGATGATGATGATAGTGAAACCGAGTTTGTGTGCATATGTTATATACACCTATGTGCACGTATGCGCGAGCGCGGGGGAGTGCAGGTGCGACTGGTTGGCGACCACGGAGCTCGCTGATAATGCCTATGTAGTATCTATCCGCTGATGGATCGGTAGGAAGGTGCCGATAAGACTCACTGCAGGTGCGTTGTTTGTCCACGTGCTCGTGTGTGCACGTCTATCGTCGAGATACCAATTTTTCTTTTCATTTTTTTTTTTTTTTTTTTTTTTTTTTTTTTTTTTTTTTTTTTTTTTTTTTTT